TTGCCCACTTACAAAGAAATGAAGGGTCTGTAATTTTTATGGTAGGTTTATTTTAACGTATAGAGACAGAATACTAACAAAAAAAAAACAAACACATTATATTAGGGCTGGGCGATATAGCTAAAAAATGTATCAACGATATAATATGAAATATCGTTCTGTATCGATAATTATTGACATTTGTATAACCTTTTTTTAAAACAAAAAGCAATATAATTTTTTTTTTTTTTTTAATTTAACCACTGTATTTATAATTAACACAATTTATTGAGACAAACAACTAATTTTTTTTTTGCTTCTATATTTCTCTAATATTTTGAATGAATAACGCAGCAACTGCGTGTCTCGTGGTCTAGACTAACAAAACATTAAAATGCAACAACGTCACTTACATCATCACTGCATCTCGCGCGCCACTAATGACGCTCCCTAATGCACACCTAACATTTAAATGCAAATGTTTATTTTAAATTCGACTAATATTCATTCTTTATTCACAATCTCTTTATCACAGGCAGGCACCGCACTCATTTCAGCATGTGTTCGTGTTTGTGTGTGCCGTCTGCGTCACTCATAGCACGTGCCTATATCATGACCTTAATGTGCTTCTTCTTGAGCCACTCCTTTGTTGCCTTGGCGGTATGTTTTGGGTCATTGTCATGCTGGAAGACCCATCCATGACAAATCTTCAGTGTTCTGGCTGAAGGAAGGAGGTTCTCGTCCAAGATTTTAAAGTACATGGCCCCGTCCATTTGCCCCTCGATGCAGTGAAGTCATCCTGTACCCTTAGCAGGAAAACAGCCCCAAAGCATAATGTTTCCACCTCCGTGCTTGACTGTAGGGATGGTGTTCTTGGGTTCATAGTCAGCATTTCTCTCCCTCCAAACACAGCGAGTCAAGTTAATGCCAAAGAGCTCAATTTTGGTCTCATCTGACCCCAGCACTTTCTCCCAAGCCTTCTCTGAATCATTTAGATATTCATTGGCAAACTTTAAACAGGCCTGTACATGTGCCTTCTTGAGCAGAGGGACCTTGCGGGCGTTGCAGGATTTCAGTCCATTGGGGCGTAGTGTGTTACCAATGGATTGCTTGGTGTCTGTGGTCCCAACTGCCTTAAGATGATTAACAAGCTCCTCCCGTGTAGTTCTGGGCTGATCCCTCACCTTTCTCATGATCATCCTTACC